TGTCTAACTTTTCGCAAATTGGAATAACTACTTCTTATCAACATAAATAACCGCAATACGAAAACATTAAAGGTTAAGTAAATGCTGTAGTAGTAAATTTACTGTCGAAAGATCCTATAATCCTAAATTTCAACCTAGATTATCATCAGTCACTGAACCACTTCTACGGAGTATTGAAAGACATGAAATATGTAAGCAATTCTAGATTTGCTCAAAGTCATATAGTCATTCGTTACCTATCTACCAGAAAAAAAGTTGGTTGATTCCATACTCCTCTTGCAATTATATTCAACGTCTCAGGTATATGAACATTTTAAGACCATTAGAAAAGTTTTGGGGTCATCTTGGAATTTTCGATTTTTTCGCTCATAATTACGCCGCGATTACGATGTTTAAACCTACAACCTTTTTTCGTAATCGAAAATCTTACAGACTCTGAGAATTCGTTCAAAATGTCACTGCTCACCCTAAACTAAGAATTTTTCCAAAATATATCGGACTTTTTATATTTGATCATGTGCACAACCCCTCCCTCCCCTTCAGCATCTGTGGAACCTCCATCCTCCATTTCCATTCAAAAGTTCTTCTAACTATGATTCGTCTAAACATCTATATTAAACTGCATTTGAATCTCAATTTTAGCTTAAATGGCTATACAGGTAATAGAAGCCTCACATGCCCGGGTAAAATAAAACTGTTACTTGAGATTATGATAATAATAGGAACAAATTCTTGCTATATCATTACGTGGTTTAAACAAGGTCACACCTGGAGCTACTTGAATACCTTTTAGTTTTGCATTTTTTCAGTCATAAAATAATGATAATAGTGTGACTCAAGATTAGCAAAAATACGTAACCAGTCATTGCTAAAAGCTTCCTAACCGCATTTTAGTGTGCGGTAGTAATTAATTATTTATTTTTAACTTATTAAATGGAACCACCTTTTAAGGTCAAACTTGACCAAGGTATTATCTAATCACAACATGACAAAGAGCAACGCACTATTGAAAAACGTATAATCACATGTTCAAATAAATTGATTTTGAAGAGGTCATGGCTGATAAGTTATATAATAATGGTATATACAGGATGTCCAACAACATATTTCAATAATGAAAGATATAAAAAATGACGAATAACAGTGTCAAGTAGACTGAGTCGTATTGTACACAAACTGAAAATCTTCCATAAAATGCCTCTTAAACTTTGTGTAATTACAAATGGAGTTTTTGGACTAAAATGATCAGAAACTTAAAAATAATAGAAAAACAAAGAATAAAATTTCTCCAAAATAATGGCTCATTAAAAAACGACGAACAAAAATATCAAAAAGTCGTAAAACAGACAGCGATGTTTAGAAACTCTGAAACTCACTTGTCAAAAATGAGGTAATGTTATATTATGAATGAATTCCATCAAAATCTTCAAGGCTGCCTCCGAGAGAACGAGAGTAGAAAAAAAGCCAACAGGACTTCGTCTCAGAAATAAAATTACGTAAAATGTGGTGCTATCCTTTCTTAGCATTATTAGTTCGAATTACAAAATATTTCAACCAGTTTTCATAATTCGATGCCACCTTTTGTCGCTATAACCAATCTGCAAGTCGCTTCTGCTCACGTGTTTTACAATTTTTACGTTATTCTCTTCGAAGAAAAATAACATATGAATGTCCGGAATTTAGGAAATAATTGTACGCATCATTATTTAAGCGCTACGTTAACCATAATAAAAATAGTAAAAGATGAGCTACCGAGTAACTGTAATCGAAAACCAAATATTTGGTGAACCTTCGGAATCTCACGTCCACACACAACTCATGTATTTAAATACCAAGAAAGGTCAAATATACATACAAAACTATAAACCTGACAATCATATATGACATATATCATAGCTTTGGATAATGGGTTGAAAGAGATTATTATTATAAATAACGAAATAAATATGTCGATAACCTTAATTTACTTCTATTGGATTTTTCACGACTCTCCATTATGTTTTGACGTCTACTGAGATGAACAGATGATTAGCAAGTGACGTCTTTGTATTAAAGTGCGTAGTGTTGGCAATAATCAATCGGGTAAAGCTCAGTACCGTTTTCAGAACTGTTTAAACGAAACATAAAAAAAACTGTTTATCTTCCTTCCTGACTTGAAACACAGCCTTGATCATTAGCAGCAATTTTGCTTGTATCACTTTTGCTTGTGTGCGAAGACAAAAGCGTAACGCAATAGATTTCAAATGGCCCCATAGAAAAAAGTCTAATTACGCCAAATCAGGAGATCTAGCAGGCCATTTTATAGGCCCTCTTCGCCCTATCCATTTATCTGGAAACTCGTCGTCTAGACATTGCCGAAACCGAAAGAACATAGTGAGGAGGAGCGCCGTCTTGAAGGAAATATATTTTCAGCCTCATCAAGTATAGGGTTTGGAGCCTCTTCAATTTGGTTTTCTATAGTTTCAGTGATAAGAGAATTTCCATTGATAAACAATGGCCCGATCACGTTGTTTCCAAAAATGCCTGCCCGTACATTAATTTTTTGGGGGTACTGGGTATGCCCTTCTACAAAAGCATGAGGATTTTCATTGCTCCAATACCTGATGTTATGCTCATTAACAAATCCGTTTAGATAAAATGTGCATTCATCACTGAAGAAGATATTCTTTACACGAATGATATTATCATTAATCGCTGCAGTCATTTATTCACAAACTCAAGTCGCCTATCGAAATCATCTTTGGTTAATTCTTGGATTATTTCAATTTGAATGGATAACATTTAAAGAGTTTAGTAACTGTGTGTACACAGCCTAATGAAATACCAGTCGCAGCAACAATTTTTCGTAATGAATTATTACGATTTATTCCAAAATGACCCAAACTTCCAGTTTGAGTAAATTTTGTAACAAGGTCCCTTAGCAACTAAACAGGTATAACAATAAATACAGTTCGCCCAGGATATATGTGTTGATGAAAAGAATGCGGAAAAAAATGTTGGTTGTTATTTGGTTGTTGCCACGTCGAATCTTCCGAATTGCTATTATGTTGGTAGTTTCCGTTTTAAGTTATAAACGAATTGGCAAACCCTAACAGACAACATTTTGAACACTTATTGAAATGAAAACTGATATTTTCGTGTTCCAAACAAGCTATTACTCGATACCCCTTGTCATTTGAAATTTTTAAGGGGATGACCCTGGGGGCACAGGGTGAAAGGGGTGAAGTAGTTTCCGGTTAAAAAGTTGTCCCCCTTAACACATGTTTTGAAGTGTCTCCTCCGCGTTTTTTCTTCTGATCACTGAAGTTTTCAAATGAACACCCTGTATGTAAGGCGTGTCCGTAAAATAAGTTCCACAAATTTTTTTCATATCAAAAAATTGGTTTAATTGAAAAGAAAATATATTTTTGGAAAGTTCAGTCTTTCTTTTATTTTTCTACATAATCGCCGTTGCGTTCTATGCATCTCTGCATTCGAGGCACCCCTTTCTTCAAACCAGAGTCATAGAACTCTGCCGCCTGTCCGTGTAGAAAACTAACAACCGCGTTTTGCACCTCTTCATCTGTCTGGAATTGGGTTCCGCCAAGGTTTTTCTTCAACTCAGGGAAGATATGGAAGTCACTTGGTGCTAAGTCTGGGCTGTAAGGTGGGTGAGACACCATTTTCCATCCAAAATCTTTCGATGAGGGCTGTGGTTCGATTTTCGGTGTGCGGTCGGGGATTTTCATGGAGAAAACGCACTCCTTTCGTCAGCATTCCTCTTCTTTTGTTCTGAATGGCACGTCTAAGTTTTTTCAAGGTCTCACAGTACCGGTCAGCATTGATTGTTGTCCCGCGAGGCATAAACTCGCACAACAATACGCCCTTTCGATCCCAAAAAACGCTAGCCATGATTTTCCCGGCAGACAGGATTTGTTTGAACTTCTTTGCTCTTGGTGAAGAAGAGTGCTTCCACTGCTTCGATTGCTCCTTTGTTTCCGGTGTGGTGTAGTGTACCCAGGTCTCGTCACCAGTAACAATAGAGTCCAGAAATTCCTCTTCGGTTGTTCCGTGAAAAGCGAGAAATTCTTGGGCCGCTTCAACCCGCTGCCGCCGGTGGTCTGCAGTGAGCATTCTTGGTACCCATCTTGCGCAGACCTTTGAATAGCCTAAATGTTCAGTCAAAATCTTGTCGATTGTGGTTTTGCTGACCTCCGGAATCTTTGTGCACAGCTCCCGAACTGTAATCCGTCGATCTTCAAGCATTGCCGCTTCGACTTTGGCAATTGTTTCGTCGGAAACCGATGGCCGCCCTGCACGGGCTTCGTCGTGGACATCTGTTCGGCCATTTTTAAAGTCCCTGACCCATCTGCGCACCATCCCGCAGCTCATACAGTCTTCTCCATACACTTGACAAAGTTCTTCGTCGATTTCTTCTTAGCGGCCAGGAAACGAATAACAGACCGCAACTCGCAGCTGGCGGGAGACGCAAGAGGAAGCTCCATCGCTGACGGCTGCTGAGCCAAGACTAAACGTCGCAGCGACGCTGGCTTGGTGAGGGATTGGAGTGGGGGAACCAAACAATCTGCCTCTGTTGCCTGGCTGTGCATAGAAACGATCCTAGCGCCAGCGGCAGCCCGTGGAACTTATTTTACGGACAAGCCTTTATTACTTAAGTAGAGGAGATTAATTTGTACTTTTATCACTATCTTATATTTCATGTCTGGCGATCTGAATAAGAAAATAATTTTCACATTTCTAACAGAGATGAATTTTGACAAATTTGTGCTGATTTACGTTCATCAAACATTGTTAATTTCTCACATCGAATAATCGTTAAGTCCGCTGTTAAATTTGCAAAATTCCTTTCATGAACTTGCGGATCACTTTAATCGTGCTTAATTTTAGGAGATATAGCACCCTCAATATAGAATCCTTTACATTTGAAGACAATCGAAAACATGTTAAAAATGTGATGCATTTTGATAATAAAAATTAAATTCTAAATTCAAATAATTTACCTCTATCAGCCATTGTATAAGTTGTACAAAAGGCGAAAGCACGGATGCATCTCGTGCTTTCTTTATCACAAGTACAGTTAAAGGTGGTTTGTACCACGTCAGTCTTTGGCTTGCAGGGTCTTGAATGGTCCTGAAACAAAACCGAAAATATATTAAAAAAATAAATCGTTATTCAAACCCAGAACGGTTCAGTTTATCATATAATCAAAGTTTGTGTATATAGTAGATACCTTGTGTGAAGCTGAGTTTCATAGCTCGAACCAAATGAGGAAAATAACAGACCTGTTGCAATGATGAAATATGCACAAACAGTTACAAGCACAATCAAGACAGCAAGATTTAGTGCTATCATACTTAAAGCTGATCTAAAATCAACTAAACAAAATAAAGACGATGTAGTGGATATAACAAAACTGTGGTGTAGTATTACAACCTGCAAAACAACTCGATATTCAAGATCGCGGAAAAATCATCTACAATAATTGAATTAAATACCACAGCGATAAAATTATAAATTCATCCTAGCAGTGGCAGGAAACTACTGAGATGTATACAAGCAATCTTAGGAATGATTATTTATTATTTATAGATAATCAATACTAAGGGTCAAACAGCATACAAAAGGTTAAACGAGGTCTTTGCAGCCCCAATGTTAGTCTTGATATGTAACATCGTTGGATGCTTTCACTAGCTGTTAATAGAATTTCATCCCTTAAAATACTTTTTGAAAAATTTCTTTCCATGGTAGCTTTTAATAAAAGTAGAGTGACGCGTTCGCATATTCTGTATTTGCCATTCCTACAACTTGAAAACCATTTACGCACAACACACTATTGATATCAAGTCAATAAATGAACCTTATCATTTTTGATACCCTCGAAAATGATCTGACTACGTCTTAAGGTAGTCAGAAACTTAAAAGTGCAAAGTGTATAAGCGAAAAGTCAATTTTTCAATATACAGGGTGTTATTTAAGTACGTAGACAAACTCCTGGAGATGATTCTTTGAGTAATTTTAAGATGAATAGTTTATATAAATATAGGTTCAGAAATGCTTCATTTTCAAGATACAGGGTGTGAAACTTTTTAAAAAAAAAAAAAAGGCTTTACCTAAATATCTTGATAAACTTCCAGTCGATTTTGTTCAAATTAAGCAGTGGTATAAAGTGCAGTAATGTACTAATTTAGTCCCAATTAGTTTGTAATTATTAAGTCCAGTGAGATCGCGAAAAACACCATAACCAATATCTTAGACAAAAAATGTGTGCGCCACTTTTTTCAACTTTTCTATTTTTTTTTTCGAATTAAGCAGCTAAATTACAACTTTTTTGTCTGCCTAATTTTTTTTATCTCGCTTCGTTTGCGAGATAAAAATAAAAAGCACTTTATTGCATGTCCCTGGGACAATAACATAATAAAACATTGAAACCACCAAACTAACATTAGAGAAAGTCATCTCTTGAATTTTTTCGCACATATTTAAAACTAATTTCAATAAAACAAAATAACATATAATAATCGCATAACATAATAATGTATAACAGCAATATTTTAAAAGTAACAAAAAATAAGAGCGCTATGAAAAGAAAAACAATTGCTACTCAAACAAATCTGGCTTTGACATAACTTACTTAAATCAGTGCTTATTATTTATATTATTCAAAGTGTTTTTGAGAGTTACTCTAACCAATATCTTTTTAAATTTTTCATTTTTTTTCGAAGGATCTAAAAATACAACTTTTTTGTCTCCTGAGAGACTGTGCAACGCCACTGGCAAAACATTGCAACAATTAATAACGTTATGTGAATATTTTATGTTTATTTGTTTTGTCGAAAGCAGGTATAGATAATCTGAGCAAAAAAATTCAAAAGACGACATTCGTGTAACTTAATCGTCAAAAACATGCAATAAAGTGCTTTTTATTTTTTATCTCGCAAACGAAGCTGAGTAAATTAGAAAAGCTGTATTTTTAGCTGCTGAATTCTAAAAAAAAAAAATAGAAAAATTGGAAAAAGTCATTGCCGCACATATCTTTTGTCAAAGATATTGGTTAGGGTGTTTTCCGGGACGCCACTGGATTTGATGATTTCAATCTCATAGGAGCTAAATTAGCCCCTCACGGCCCTTAATACTACTGCAGAATTTGAATAAAATCGACTGAAAGTTTATTAAAATATTTAGGATAAAGCGATTTAAAAAAAAAAGTTGCTTGAAAACGAAGCGTTTCTGAATCTGTGTTTATACGAATTTTTCATCTTAAAATTACGCAAACCATCACCTTCTGAAGTTTGTCTACATACTTTATTAACACCCTGTATTTTGATTTCATTATGTAGGTACCAGGAGTATATTATATTATATATATTATATATTATGTTTACAATTTACAATTACAGTATCATGAACAATTAATGAATTAAAAAAAACGACCATAATTATAATCGCTTCGTTCCAACATAATAACGAAAACAATATTTAACAATCGATAAAATGTGCAAATTCACGTGAGTAACGAGTGATAAAACGTATAAACCGATGAAAAGTAAAATTGTACAATGTCAGTCTCGCGTAATCAAATATGCAGGTAAAATTAATAAAGCGATAAAAAGTTCGTTAACATAATTAAAATGAAGCTATTGTTTGTATAAGACGTTCGATAGAAGCTTTTACATTTTTAAATTAATAACAAAAACCGTCGTATTATATAAAGGATCCAATTTTAATAATAAGTGTGTTAAAACTGGTACAGAAAGCATCAAACTATAAAAAAACTATAATAGAAAATTATTATGCCAATTATTGAGGAAGATTATAGAGTGAGTTTTTTAAGATCCGATATACAAACAATTCGAATTCTTAAGAAAAAAAATGAGCGTTTCGGTTCACATCACAGGAACTCAAGGAAAATATGTTATTGAAAGTAGGAAATTTTGGATCAAAATTAATAATGTTCAACACGGCCGAACAGAGCCGGTTTTTTCAGGGTTCGGTTCTGTAAAGTGCGGTGGACGAGAATGGGTGGATTGGTAGCTGATCAAAATTAATCATCCGAAAACATGTATTGTACTAAAAAACGTAGCGGCGCCCTGCCCGACTTTTGAGTGATGGAAGTTCACGTACCATAGGAAAGTTCTGCCAAGTATCTTGGTTATCAGTCTTGATAACAGGATGACCCGGTAGAAGCACACTGAAGCGTTGAAAACCAAGTTCCAAATTACATTTCGGCAACTCTATCCTATGCTATGTAGAACCTCAAAATTGACTTTGTTCAACAAGGTTTGGCTACACAGCGGTCACTTACGCATGTACGGCTTGATGTTTCCTCGTCAAAACACATTTGCGTAGTCTGCATTTTTTACAGAACAGAGCCTTGCGCACAATCGGTAACGCACATAGTATGTACGAGGGTTGTCTTTTAAGTTTTGCATATGGAAATAAAACAACACGTTAGGTAGTTTTAAATGACTTTATTGTTTTTCGAGGTATTCTCCATTCTCTAGGCAGCAGCGGTGGCCGCAGTAGAGACTCTTCGGTCTCCTGATCAGTCGCCGTGCGCTGTGCGGGTTCGAGTCCCGTCCCAGGAGAAATTTTTCTCTTGGCTATGGATGTTGTGATTGTCCGTAGGTGGCAGACGGTCTTTGACTGTCGAACGCGGAGGTACCACCCGGCGGATCTCATAGGCGGAGCCAGAATGTGTGCATGTTGCATGCATAAGGTTCCCTCGCCAGAGACCGTGTGGCGTTCCCCTTTCCCATGTATCCCCCTATAGCCTCACGGTACCCAATGGGTGCTTAGGCCTTAGGCCTTCGTGGTAGTTGGAGTATATATAAAAAAAACGAAGATTAATACACATCTGCATGCGCTCGAACCAATTTTCGAAGCACTTATTCCACTCGTTTGCTGGCATATCCAAAACAGCATTTTTGAATGCGTCAACTGCTTCTTCTAGTGAGTGGAACCTTTGACCACGCAGTCTGTTTTTAATTTTCGGGAAAGTAAAGAAATCGTTAGGACGTTAGGACTTTAAGAGGATGGTCCAATAATTCCACGTTTTCTTCCGTTAAATACTGCCCTGTTTTTAGTGTGCGAGCTTGAATTGACTTGTTGGAGGATGATTCTTCTTTCGGGGTTGATTTTTCGAAGCTCGGTGATGACTTTTGGCAAACAAATGGTGGTATGCCAATCCGCAGAAACAGTTCTTTGCTCATTAAGAGAAATTGTTGCAATATGACCCGCTTTTGACACAAATGTCGCGATCATCTTTTTCGAAACACTTCGAGAACGGATGACTTTTGTTGGCTTTTCTTCACCTTGGAACACCCAAACAGCCGACTGTCATTTATTTTCTGGTTCATAACAGTAAATCCACGATTCATCACCACTAACAATGCTGTACACATTTTTTGAGTTTCCGGAATTGAAACGGTCAAGCTTTTTTTGACACCAATTAACCCTGGCTGCTTTCTGCTCTTCAGTCCAACGAGAAACTAATTTTCTTACTCCTAATTCTTCATGTTAAATTTTTTGAATTGACGTCTTTGAGATCTTCAAGGACGCCTCAATCTCGCGATATGTCACATGTCTATCTTCAATGATGAGTCTGCGCACAGCATCCACGTTTCCTTGGGTGACTGTCTTGTTTGGTGCACCCACCCTGGGATCGTCGCTAATACTCACCCGTCCACGTTTGAATTCGTCCATACCAACGGGAAATTGTCGACTGATGTGGCGCTTCGTTGCCGAAAACAGACAGTAACTCAGCAAGGCATTCTTGTTGCGATAATTGTCTATGAAAGTTGTAATAAATTATGGCGCGAAGATGTTCTCGGTTGAGTTCCATTTTTCTAATGACTTGGTGACACTAAAAAATTCACTGTTATGAGAACACTGCACGCATTGTTATGAAACTTTGAATTTAAGTTTACTAAAGAGTGAGGTTAAGATTCAGTACTGACATAGATCCGCGCGGCCTACTATGTTTCTATATGCAAAACTTGAAAGACATCCCTCGTATCCAAAGAGACCGTTCACTGAGACTTCGACATCCCTTACTTAAATTAAAGTTTTTCCACAACAACATCTAAATTAATTTCAAAATTCCCGAATACTGGTTAACAATGCCAAGGCGT